CACTTAATTTAAGCCCTTTTTACTTATTTCTAGATCTTTTTTCGCAGTGAAGCTTCTCACATCCTTCACTGCAAAAAAACATCTAGAAATAAGTAAAAACTGTCTTAAATTAAGTGTATTTACCCTTAATTTGAGCAGGTAAATGAGATGATCTGCCAATGGAATGAGTATTTTTACTCCTAAAATAAGATCATTAGATAATATACGTTTGAAATAAGACAAAGCAATTGTTTTTTTTTTCTTATTTTAAATGTAAATTGTCTTGTTCCAATTTCAGAGTGTCTCACTTACCTCCTCAATTCAAGAAAAAATGCACTTAATTTGAGCAAAAATGACTTATTTAGATTTCCATTTTTTGCAGTGTTCTGGTTAGTTTTTGACTACATTGCTCTGCAGAATTACTACAGTTAAATTTAACAGGTGGGCCAATGCAAATAAGCCTATGAGGAATAATCAGAAACATCCATCTAGATCTATGCTTCAGAGCCTTGATAAAAGATGCTGGCTGTTTTTAATCTTTAGACTAAACAAACTGAAAAGAAAATCTGCTTGGTTTTACACTGGGAAAAAAATCGAAATCTAGATAAGTTGTTTTTTCTTAAAATAAGTGTATTTGTTCTTGGATTTAATAGGTAAAAGAGATATTTTGCCAATGGAACATGACAATTTACACTTACAATAAGAAAACACAATTGCATTCTCTTATTTCAGGTGCATTTTATCTAATTTTCTTATTTTAAGAGCAAAAATACTCATTCCATTGGCAAACTATTTCCTTTACCTACTCAAATTAAGCGTAAATACACCTTATTTAAGACATTTCTACTTATTTTTAGATCCTTTTTCCAGTGTACTGCAGCTGATAAATGAATGAAGCTCAGTCAGTTTACAGAACCAGGTGGAGGTCTAACCTGCAGGTCTTCAGGCTGAAGCTTCTTCCTGATGTTGAAGGTGATCCGTCCAGCTGTCCTTGTCCTCTGTAGGGAGACGCTCTGATTCCTGCTCAGCTCTGTCTGACTTCTCAGTCTCTTCTGCACGCGCTCAGATGAAGCCCTCTCTGTATCAGGTCTCTCCACCTCCTCTCTCTCCTTCATTCTTATTCTTCAGTGCGTTCGTTCGTCCTGAAATGAAATCACGTCTGAGTGAGTTCACCCGCCCAAACACACCCACTCTGTCATTAGTGTGTGTGTTAAAGTGAATGTATTTTTTTTTTCTCACTCGTGTATTTTGGTTCCTGTCTTTGTCTCACTTCCTCTCTCGTTTTTGTGAAATTTACAAACACACACACACACACAACCCTGCAAGCTTCAGAGCCTCTGTGGCACTTTTGACCTTTAAAGTGTTAAGCTGAACCTTTTACCTGTAAGGAAGGACTTTTTTTCAAGCAAATCAACAGTTTGGATGCATCACCCTCAGCTCTAACAGTCTCCATATGCTTTATTTTTTTTATTTAACCTTTATTTAGTCCCATTGATATTCAGAATCTCTTTTTCAAGAGAGACCTGGCCAAGGTAGCAGCCAAACCACAGGAACACTGCAAAAAATCTAAATCTTGATAAGTCATTTTTCTTAAAATAGGTGCATTTGTTCTTGAATTGAGGAGATAAAAGAGACATCTTGCTAATGAAACAAGACAATTTAGATTTAAAATAACTTATTTCAAGTGAATATTATCTAATTATCTCATTTTAAGAGTAAAAATATGCATTCCATTTGCAAACCATCTTATTTACCTGCTCAAATTAAGGGTAAATACTCTTAATTTAAGACATTTTTACTA